AGCTTCTAGCTTCCACCTTCCTGATAGTTTACATCTGCATTTCTATAGAGCAGGTTTCTGTTTGGGGAAGAGAGACTTGGGACTATTAAGAAAAACTGGGCATGCTTTTCTGCCTCTTTAAGATTCTTTGAGGAAATATATTTTCCTGCCCTTTTTAATATTTCCTTCTCTGGGGGACTGACTTCCCACAATACTTTACAATGTCTTTACTCATTTCCTCAGATAAATGTTTAGGAAAACATGCCAGGAAATATATTTATTTATTTATTTATTTGTTTATCCTGCCTTTATTATTTCTATATATAACTCAAGGTAGTGAGCATGCCTAATATTTCCTCCTCCTATTTTCCCCACTACAACAACAACCCTGTGAGGTGGGTTGGGCTGAAGGAGAGTGACTGGCCCAAAGTCACCTAGCCAACTTTCATGCCTAAAGTGGGACTACAACTCACAGTCTTCTGGTTTCTAGCCTGATGTCTTAACCACTAGACCATGGGTGTCAAACTCGCTGTGTCACGTGACATACCGTGACATATCATGACTTTTTTTGCCTTTGCGGAGCTGGGGTGGGTGTGGTCTCCGCGTGACATATCCGGCCTGTGGGCCAGCAGTTTGACAGCCCTGCACTAGACTAAACATAGAACACAAAGTCATTGCATATGATTTTGCATGATGATATTATGGTAGACATGATATCACTTGCTTCCATGTATGTGGATCATAAAAGCCAAGATGGTGGCTGAAACCATATGATTGATTCACAGAAAAGGAAAGGAACTGTGGGTGATAATAGTTGCCACCTGGAATTCGACAGCCTTTGTGCTTTCAAATTATATTATTACATCCAAATCATGCTATTGTTTGCTTGTTCCTTACCTAAGGTTGGATGCAATCGTGTTATCTCTTCTTTATCTTATTATTTATGTATTTCAAGAGTTTCATCCTACTCTTTAGAAGAACAAAAATGTTCTGAGTTAAATCATAATCAGATGACTAAATAAGAAAATATGAAGGGTGGGTTAGCAAAAGGGAAACAGGATTATAATTGTTGTGTAGTGGGAATAGCGAGGCATTGAACACACGGAGTTGAAATAACAGCTCTTTATTCAGTTCTCACAAAAGCAGCTCTAGCAGCTGCTTGACTTATATTTATACGGACTGCCACTAGGCAGCAGCCAATGATTTTAAAGTACTCATTCCCGCCTAAACCAAGTTACAGTTATACAGATTCAAATAGAACAATCAGTTAACCATTTTTTATAACAGATCTTGTGAATTAGCTTAATACATAACACCTCTTCCCCCCTAGATCAATACATATCCATAAATTGTACATAGTCCTTCAGATAAGTAGGTGGCTTCTGCGATTGTTCCGATTGCCGCATCTCTGCCAGAGGTTCCCGGTCTACCCTCGGCTGGCTGGATAGACCACAGTCTTTTCGACAGCTCGGGTTGGATAGACCAGTCTCTGTTTGTCGTGTCTGGCTGGGTAGACCAGTCTCTGTTTGTCTTTTCTGGCCGGGTAGACCGGTCTCATTTCAGCTGGTCTGTTCAGGTAGATCAGTACACCTGTCAGTGAGTGGAGCAGTCCTGGAAAGGCTGGGAAATAAGTCCTCCAGCAAACTCTGATCTGCGGGCACTGTTCCTTCAGTTGTTAGTGATTCAATCATGACTGAGTCATCCAGCATGTCTCCTCGAATCGCGCAGGACTCCGGTGACTCAGATGCACCGCAGCTGTCAGGCAGCCCTCGGCTCTCCTCTTGGTCGGCGGTGAGGGTTTGATTAGCCTGCCACCAACACAGCTGATCGATGTGATGACACAAAACACGCCCGTCTTCCAGACCACTTCATAAGAGAGTGGTCCTGACACCTTACAAACCATAGCTATCACCCACAGTGCTCCTTGATCGTAGTTCCGTGCTCAAACTCAGTCGCCAACTCACAAATTCCTCAGGGGCTTGGGCTGAGCTGTCTCTGTTGCAACTCGGTCTGGATGGAGACGGTCCAGCTTCATGGTCAGCTGACATCCCCATCTCAGCTCCGCTGGGTTATGACCCATTGAGGTGCATGGAGTTGTGTGTTGGCAGAGCAAAAAGTCTGCCAACCTGTGATGCCAAACGCTCTTTGTTATTCTTTTAAGTGCTTCTTTGGTTGTCCTGACCATCCTTTCCGCTTGACCATTAGAGGCCGGGTGAAATGGGGCAGAGATGGTGTATCTAAACATATTAGACCTTAGAAATGACTGAAATTCTGCAGCAGTAAATTATGCCCCATTATCTGATACAATTACATCGGGTAAGCCATGTGTGGGAAAGATTCTACGCAATTCCTGGATGGTCCTGGCAGTAATCATAGAGGGGACAAGTGCTACCTCAAGCCACTTTGAGTGACTGTCCACTACAATGAGGAACACCTATCCTTGGAAGGGTCCTGCGTAGTCTATGTGAATCGTAGACCATGGAGTTTGCGTAGTCTCCACACGATGTACTGGGGCTTGAGGCATTTCAGGTCTGGACTGTTGGCAAACCTGGCATCCTTTAACTTGAGCCTCAATATCCTTATCCAACCCTGGCCACCACAGGTAGCTTCTTGCGAGTGCCTTCATCCTGACTATTCCAGGATGTCCCTCATGCAGAGATTCTAAGACTCTTTCCCTTAGTATGTGTGGTACTATTACCCTACTCCCCCATAGAATACATCCTTTGTATGCTGACAGCTCATCTTGTCTTCTAATAAAGCTCTGAAATTCCATCCCAGGACTGGCTCCTGGCCATCCCCTCAGCACCCAGTTCAAAACTCGGCTGAGAGTTTTGTCAGTGGCTGTCTCAGCAGCCATGTCCCCAGCGTGAAGGAGAGATTCAGGCAAATCCTTAATTGACGAGATGCGTGTAGCAGGTGTGGGGTCTGGTTCTAAATTAGGCAGGGGCAGTCTGATGAGTGCATCAATGTGACCCATTTCCTTGCCAGGCTTATGGACTAGCCTGTAATTGTAGGCTGCCATAAAGACTGACCACCTCAGCATCCTCAGAGACAGGATCTGAGGGGTTTGCTTGTCTGCAGTAAACAGACCTAGAAGAGGCTTGTGGTCTGTAAAGACCATAAATGGGCAACCATAAAGGAAATCGTGGAATTTTTTTATTCCTGCAACTATGGGTAAAGCCTGCGGGGGAAAGTGTCCTTGAATAATAAGATATGGGTGCTTCCTGCCCATTTACCATTATATGGCTCAAAACTGCTCCTATCCCGTATGATGACACATCACATGCAATACTGATAGGCAGTTTTTCATTAAAGTGTGTTAACACAGTCTGACGACAGCAGTGATTTGACTGCTTTGAAACTGTTTTCGTGGGAGCTAGTCCACTGCCATGGTACCCTTTTATCTAAGAGCTCTGCTAATGCAGCCTTGTGAGGGAGAAAGGCATGATAAAAGTGAAGTAACTCCAGAAATGCCTGCAGCTCCCCCTTTGACTTTGGTCTGGGAACCTGCAAAATAGCCTTGAGCTTTGAATCAGCTGGGTGTATTCCGGCAGCTTTGATCCAGAAACCGAGGAACTCTGTGGAGTTTACTCCTATTTGACATTTTTCTCTTTTGAGCTTCAACCCCGCTTCGCGGAAGCGCTGAAGGACAGCCCTTAAATGTTCTGCAAGTATTTCTGCTGACTCCCCAGCAATTAAAACATCGTTGAAATAAGGACACACACCTGGAATGTTTTTTTAACATGCGTTCCAATCATGCTCTGAAAGAGCCCTGGGGCTACACTAACCCCAAACTGCAGGCGACAAACCCTGAATGCCCCTCTATGAGTAACTATTGTTTGAACCTCAGCAGAGCGTCATCCACAGGCAGTTGCTGATATGCCTACACCAGGTCCAGCTTTGCAACCTCCTTGTAAGGATGCCAGAATGTGGCTAACTACAGGTATTGGATACGCACATTGCTGCAGAGCTTATTAACAGTGCACTTATAATCAGAACAGATGCGCACCTCTCCATTAGGTTTGACCGGAGTGACTAATGGGGGTTTCCCATACACTGTTGTCAACAGGTTGCAAGACTCCCTGTTGAACAAGCTTATCTAATTCTGCATCGATCTTGGGCTTTAGGGCAAAAGGCACTCTACGAAGCTTTACTCTGATTGGGAGGTGGAGAACAATTGGTACTCCTTTGTACTTCCTTAAGTTGGGGCTGAAAACCTCAGCAAACTCCTGGCAGACAGCTGCCAAATCCGCTGTTTGGATTCTGTTAATGCCAGTGACATGGATGCCCGGGGCATCAAACCAGTCTAAGCCTGATCAGGCTTATGCGCTGGCCTTCGACCACCACGACACTGAGGGGACCCTCAAACTATTTGAATGTCACTTTTATCATAGCTTCTCCTTTAATCGCTACGCGGGAGTTTTGAAAATCTGTCAAAACTAAATCTGACAGCTTGAGTCTGACTCATTTCCCGCCGTTTCTGCAGATGAAATTAAAAGTCTTATAGGAAATTATAGACACAGCTGATCCAGTGTCCAGTTCCATGGAGCATGGAACTCCTTGTAGCTTGACTTTTAGCCTAAGCTTTTCTTTTAGGGGGCAATGAGCACCAGTTCTGAGAATGCTTCTCCTTCCGGAGCAATATCCTACTCTATTCTGCCCTGGGGCTCCATTATCTCTCCTGGGGAAGTCTTCACGTGGAGATTCCCTCTGGCGACAGATGATAGCGATGTAGCCTTGTTTGCTACATGCTCGGCACACAGCTGCACGAAACCAGCATTCTGAGTGCTGGTGTCGTCCTTCACAGCCCTGACAGCTAGGGAAGAAGGCTGCCTTGTCAAGTGGCCACTGCCTTCTTTCTGGGATCTTCTGCACCCAGTCGATCTCAATGTCTATGTCTGAGTCTTCTGTTTTCTCTGACTCTTCATGATGCACAGCTGTCTGGCTGGGAAAATTCTTTGAGGGATGTAAAGCCTTGACAGCTCCACCTGCGGCCTCTTCTGCCATCACTTCTTTCAGTGCGTCCTGGAATGTCAGAGTCTCTTTAGCAAACAGCCTCTGCTGTAAGTCTCTGCTTCTCAGGCCACATACCAGTCGGTCCCTGAGCCCGTCCTCTAGATTGGGAAATTCGCATAGCCTGGACACTTGATGTAGGGCGGCCACGAATTCAGCAACGGTTTCACCTGGCTGCTGTTCTCTCTGCTCTATATGCGATGATGGACAGTCTTGGTTCGAAGTGCTCCTTGAATCTTCGTTTCAAGTCAGTGAAGGTGACTGACTCCAAGGTAGCAGGAGCGACTATGTTCTCTGCTATATCAAAGGTGGCTTGGCCACACACACACAACAAGGTTACAGCTTTTAAATTATCTTCTCTGACCCGGTTCGCTCTGAAGTAGTTTTCTACTCTTGAGACGTACAAACTTCATCGTTCAGGATATGTCACGTCGAACTTGGAAAATTTGCCAACTTTAACCATGGCTGGCTGTTACTGCATCTCCAATGCCTTATGCTGCTAGGGCTTCTGTGAGTTTCCCAGGGATGGGTCCCTTAGGAAGGTGATACCTCCAGCGTTTGCGTACTGGCAGGCAGAAGGGGGAACACGGTTCCAACCAGGGCGCTAATGCCTGGTCTTACCCCTTAGTGACTTAGCTCTTTCTTCCTAGCAGCATAATCCCACCTTCATCGCCAATGTTGTGTAGTGGGAACAGCGAGGCATTTGAAGACATGGAGTTGAAATGACAGCTCTTTATTCAGTTCTCATAGAAGCAGCTCAAACATCTGCTTGACTTATATTTTTACGGACCGCCACTAGGTGGCAGCCAATGATTTTAAAGTACTCATTCCCGCCTAAAACAAAGGGTTCTCAACCTTGGCAACTTTAAGACTTGTGGACTTCAACTCCCAGAATTCTTTAGCTTTGCTGGCTGAGGAATTCTGGGAGTTGAAGTCCACAAGTCTTAAAGTTGCCAAGGTTGAGAACCCCTGAGTTAACCGTTTTTTTATAACAGATCTTGTGAATTAGCTTAATACATAACAATGATATTTTCCTTTTCTCAATTTATTTATTCCCTGTTTGAATTCCAAGCTTTTCAGAGAAGACAATACACGGAGGCTTTTGACATATCTGTTGACCCTCAGGAGACCAGCAATGGCACCGAAATTAAGCACAGATTGGACAACGTTGTCTCTCGCTTGCAGACATTTTTGTGTAAACAAGTCCTAGTGAACTCAACAGGTAATGCCAATATTCTCTCCCTGTGAGATAAGGATGGGGAACATGTCACATCCAATCTCTTGAATTTTGAGAAAATTGGGAAGATCTGAGATGTAAACAATCCCTTGCCTTTCCATAAATGATGGAATAGGAGCTCTTAGGGTATTGAGGGATATATTATTTTCTTGATAGTAAAGACAATTGCTCAGATTACGGTCCTTTTATGGCCGCATTAAGAACATTTCTGAAATATTTTATAGATGTTTTCCGTAATTATGTAATGCAAATTATCAACATGTAATCTGTGCTAGCGATGTTAACTTAATCCAAGATTCTCAGCAAGATATTTAAAATAAATAAATAAAACCCTTTGTCTTTTCTCACAATGGATAAGTATTACAAACATACATATTGGAATGTAAGTTAACAAACTGGCATTTTTAAAACCCAAAACATAGGCAATATACTTTTTTCCCCATATACTTGAACATTGTTTTAAATTAGACTATCATTTTTCTTGCTTTGGTAGATTCACTTGTGAACTCCTCCATTTCGTTATAATCTTGGACCAAGTTCCAGTTGTTCTCAAATTGAAAAATTACACGTTATATGATATCCAATAGCTTTTCTAATAAGCAATCTTTATTTTGGGGAATATATCAAGAGGGATATTTGCTTTTAAAATAAATAAATACTCTATCACTGAATTAACCTTCTAGAAGGCATTTAAGGAATCTTTTTATAGCTCTGTTAGTACTATAAAGACAATACAATCTCTGTATAAAACTACTAGGGGAAGACCCTGGACATGGTGGAGTTCCAGTTGAAAAATACAGAACTTTTGTAGATATATTGACTTTATATTGTTACTGTATATTACTATATTATTACTGTGACATAGGACGTATAAAATGATGGAAGGAATATAGAAATATTCCATCATTTTATATTTCCTATGTTACAATACTATTAAAGTCTTAAAAAGGCCTCACCATACATGCAAATTGTAGATCAGTAACTATGCATAACATGAATGCTGAAGCATTAAAGACAACACTAGTCAGGAGGCTGCAGAAAGAAATACGACACTCTGATAATTCACCCAGCTTAGTCTGGATTTATAAAAGCAGACAAGCATTTGATAATTTGTCAACTGATGTTTTAATCTTCACAACAAATACACAGAGACTGTTATAAAAAATTAAAAATGCTAATAGACCCAGAATACAAATGAGAGCCTTGCCTATCTGGTTTCATTAAATTTTGGCATGGTCACATACCATGACTCCTTATAGCAAGAATAATAATTTAAACATTCAGAATGTAACTGACAATAAATCAAGTTTCATTTCCTCCTCTGAATTCTCAACCAAAAGGAAAAAAAAAAAAACCTGGTAGAGGCTTTCAGAGCCAGACCCCTAAAAGTTCTCCTTTAATCTAGTTTGGTCTTAGCATCGGCAAGAGGGACCCAAAATGTTGAGTTAGTAGCCATGACCACATAATTGATGCCCTCACCCCTACTTTAAGCGTGATGCAAGGGCAGCTCATGTAAAAAGGGGTAGACCAGTGTTTCTCAATCTTGACAATTTTAAGGCATGTGGACTTCAACTCCCAGAATTCCACAGCCAGCATTGCTGGCTGTGGAATTCTGGGAGTTGAAGTCCACATGCCTTAAAATTGTCAAGGTTGAGAAACACTGGGGTAGACCGTTAATTACTTTGCTATAGCTGCCGTTCGATATTTTTGCACCCTTCCTCAGTTGTCTGTGATTTTAATTTTTATTCAGATTCAGTACTTGAAAGTACAGCATACCTCTAGAATAGTTTCAGTGTATAATTTCTGCAAAAACAGGTAGTTCTCAACTTACGGTCAATCGCTTAGCAAATTGTTCAAAATTATGATAGACTTCCCCAAAAGCTACTTATGACACCCCGCCCCCAAATTACTTAAAACTGTTTGAAGCGATGGCCCTCGCAGCACCTTCTTTTCTCAAAATTCAGGTGGATTTGCCTTTACAACCGATTGAAGGGACATTGCAGTTTGCCCTTCTCCTCCCTATCCCACTCCGCCAGGTCCCACACCCTCCTCCCCACCCCATCATTGATCCCTCATTAATCTTTTGTATTATGGAGCTCAGGAGCTCTCATTGGCTGCACTGTCCCTCAGCATCCCTAGGCCGCATGGCTCTGTCCCATTTTCAGAAGAACCCTCCTTCACCAAAGTGAGCTCCAGAGATTTGCAGCACAAAAGATAAAGGGACTGGGGAGGAGTGGGGAGCACTCAGTGGGGTGGGAAGCAAGCCCAAGGACTGTGGGGGCTCCAAAGGATGGGAAGCAGAGCACAGGGTGCCTCAGGGAATGGAGGATGGAGGCCAGGTGCACCTGGACCTACACTATGTCTCCTGTGGCCTCCCTCATCCCTGAGGCTGCCTATGCTCCATTTAACAACCTACGTGATTATTTAACGACCACATCGGAGAGAGCAGGGTGGGGTTATTATGCAAGATGATCATATGGAAACTTTGCTTAAATGACCATCACGACTTGCAGCCATAATGGGCAGGCTCCATTAGGGTCATAAATCGAAGACTACCTGCATCTCATTGTGATGGCACATGCATGAATTACTGTTGTGCAGCTTTAGAAACTCCACATCCCATTAGAAAAGTTCATATCTGGCCTGATTCACGTAAAATAATGCATCTTTGTTATATGGCGTTCAGAGAGTTTCAGATGCTACGTGTGTCCTGGAAACTGGTCTTATCACGATGGCAAATGCTACTGGATTTCCAAAGAATTGGGGACCTGGGACAAAAGCCAGGAAGACTGCAGAGCCAGAGGGGCTCAAATGCTTGTGCTGAAGGAACGAGAAGAAATGGTAGGTCAAGATTTGTGACGGGGCGGCCACGGGAGCAGTGTTAATGGATTAAAAAGAGAGAGGGGAACTACAAGCCCCACAATTCCTTGCTTTCTAACTAGAATGGCAAATACACATGTTGATTAAGTAAATGCTGCCTCACAGGGATGTCCATGGGAGGGAAGGAGGGGAGGGAGAGTTACCCAAAAATAATAATAATCAAGATGGCATCTATGACTGTGTGATAGAAGCTCAACCCCTTTTTTATATGGGTCATGAGCTGCACACCCAGTGGTGGGATTCAGATACGTGAAGAACCGGTTCTCTGTGTGGATGCTGCTTCCGGAAGTCCATTCAGGGCCTGGGCAACAAAAAATTAGCTACTGTGCACACTCCTCCTAAAGATGATGAAGAGTAGAAAACCACCACTGAGCCATGTGCATCAGTAAGTTGTCAGTAGCTTCTTCCAGTCTGATAAGGAACAATTGTGGAGCACCCTCATCACACGGGTGACACTGAAAAAGATGGTGTCATTTTTCAACAAATGTTATTTGTATAACTCCCAGTGGTATATCTAATGCAGCGGTTCTCAACCTATGGTCGTGACCCCATTTGGGGTCGATCGACCATTTTACGGGGGTCGCCAAACAGGGCGATCCGCCATTTCCCCCCCGCAGGGGGCGCCGCCGCGCATGGGGGCGCCGCGCCGGGCATGCACGGCACGTTTGTGTGACGGGAGTCGCCGTCATACAAACGTTGAGAAACGCTGATCTAATGCTTCTGCCTATTTTCCCCACATTAACAACCTGTGAGGTAGGTTGAGGAGAGAAGCAGAGAGACTGCCTCTCACCCAGCCAACTTTCTAGTCCAAGGGAAGTATAGAATTCATGGTCTTCTCGTTTCTTGTCCAGAAGTTAAATGACTACACCTAACAGGCTATCATATTGCATATATTTCCTTGGACTTTTTCCCAGAAACTCTTACAAGTCATAGGACTGCAACAGCAAGAGGATAGAAATAGAACCTAGAACTGAGGAGAAATTTCCTGTCAGTGAGAACAATTAACCAGTGGAACAGCTTTGCCTTCATAAATTGTGGGTGCTTCATCACTGGAGGTTTTTAAGAAGAGACTGGACAGCCACTTGTCTGAAATGGTATAGGATCTCCTGCTTGAGCAGGGGGTTGGACTAGAAGACCTCCAAGGTCCCTTCCAGCTCTAGTTTGTTTGTTTGATTGATTGATCGATCAGTGGAATGGCTTGGCTCCAGAAGTTGTGTGTGCAGGAGTTGTGGGTCACTGGAGGTTGTTAAGAACAGATTGAACAGCTATTTATCTGGAGTGGTGCAGGGTCTCTTGCTTGAGCAGGGGATTGGATTAGAAGACCTTTAATGTCCCTTCCAACTCTGTAATTCTTCTCCTCTGAATTTCTATCACTAAGTGATTTGGTTATAAAGCACAGTGTCATGTGACTGCACAGCTTAGCGACAGTAATCCTGGCAATCCCGGTTGCCGAGTATGTATATCAGGGGTAGTCAACCTTGGCTCTTTTATGACTCGTGGACTTCAACTCCCAGAATTCCTGAGCCAGCTGGCTCAGGAATTCTGAGAGTTGAAGTCCACGAGTCATAAAAGAGCCAAGGTTGACTACCCCTGATGTATATTCTTAAATGTCTTCACTGTAACCATCCTAAATAAATCACGTCAGTACATCCAACCTTACATTTTAAAGAGCAGTTGGAGGGAAAGGACGTCATTAAATCCATCATTTTAATGATGTACTTATGCAAATGCTGTACATTTATAGCTTGCTTCAGATATAGTGGTCTGAAATATAGTTTTACTGCAACCAATGTCTGCTGAATGATAGCGAGTAAAATCAAGGTTTCACAATTCAGCAACCTCTAATCAAGTCCTTTTTTTAAACAGAGTTTTATCCAGAGTATTTCTGATGAAACACAGTCACTATGGATTGGGTTGATAGGAATGTTTCCAGCAAGAAAGTGGATGTGGGTTGATGATTCCCCATTGAATGAAAAACTGTAAGTATTTCTTTCTAGACTTATTGAAATCCTGCAGTGGACAATTCCATCCACTAAACAACCTGCAGCCTATTTCTGAGTAAAAATGAATAAAGATTCTAAGCTAAGTGGAAACAAGTGGAAGTGTTTGAAAACTGCCGGCAGTGATTTGCTTAAAAAAAATCAAGGCAAAACAAATCCTAAAATTGGGCCCAACTCACTTAACAACTGCCTTGTTTAGCAATGGAAATTTTGATCCCTATTGTGGTTTTAAATCAAGGACTACCTGTATGCATCAGATATTCTTGTCACTAGATCTCATCTTACTGAAGGTACTGTATTTTGCACAAGGGTCATGCAGGGACGTTGTGCAACATGTGGGATGAGGAAGGAGTGAAACAGTTTAAGTAAAGAAAGCTTTGCATTTTCCCAAGAGAGGCCAGTCAGATTTCATCCAGCATTTAGGCAAAATTCTAGAGCTCAAGTTTATTAATGGTTAAAGTGTTGGACTATAACCAGGGAGACACTTGTACAAGTCCACCTTTGATCCCAGTGACATGCAGCTGTTCTGCTGTCTTTCGAATCAATAATAAGCAATAAGCAAAAAAAAAACCATTAGTTTTTTTTTAAATATAATTTTTAAATGCAGGTAGTCCTTGATTTGTGACTGCAATGAACACTGTCCTAAGTCATTACAGTCATAAAACGGGTCAGTTACATGACCAACCTGATTTTACAATCTTTTTGTGGCAATTGTTAAGCAAACACCAATAGTTCGCAATGGGAGTGACTTTGGCAAAAACTGGAAGTAACTGCCAGTTGTGGTGGTGGGGGGGAACATGATAAAATGCAGTCATATGACTGCAGGATGCTACAAACAGCTGTAAATGCATCTCAATTGCCCAGTGTCCAAAGTTAAGTCATGCAAGGCCCAGCTGTCTTAATTTCCAGTCCTGGTCATACATAGCCTCCAGGTGCTAAGCAATTAGTCGTAAGTCAAGAACTATCTGTACAATCAAAGTATAAAGAATTAAAGGAATAATAATAAAAAGTGCAGTATGTTCACTTCCACCATTCTTTCTATTGTGTAGTTACTTTTTTTACTCTTTCCTTTCCCTCTTTTTTTTTTTTTTTTTGTAATTCCATTCCCCTTCTCTTTCAACTCTTTTTAGTCCTCAAATCCATCAGTCCATTCAGTCTTCTTTCAACCCTCCAAAGAAGAAAATATTAAAAGGGCTGAAAAAAATATATTTCCTCGGGATCTTGAAGAGGCAGGAAAGCATGCCCAGTTTTCTTAATAGCCCCAAGTCTGCCTCCTCCAAGCAGAAACCAGATCTATAGAGGATCAGGAAAGTTGGAGCTAGAACAGTGGTTCTCAACCTGTGGGTCGGGACCCCATTTGGACTCGAACGACCATTTCACAGGGGTCGCCAAACAATGCAGTCCGCCATTTTTTTCCCCTTTTCCTTAGCTGTGCTACTCCCTTTTATTCTATTGGCTTTTGAAAGCCAATAGAATAGACTCTCTTGAATAGAGTCTAATTCTATTGGCTTTCAAAAGCCAATAGGAATTGTCCAGGCTGTCTCTGCCCTGCTGAGCCTGCCAAAAGTCCCATTCTCCAAACGGTGTTGCACCAGTTGAGTAGTCCTTGACTTACGACCGGTTGAGTAGTCCTCGACTTACGACCGGTTGGGGGTCGCGGCATTAAAAAGGTTGAGAACCACTGAGCTAGACGATTAAGAAGACAAAGACCTAAAATCTGCATACCTCACCCAAACTCTAAGAGTCATTAGCCCAGTCCCATGGAAGCAGGATATGACCTTTGGGACAAAATAGGATTAAACCACAGATACCAAGGCCCAGAAAAGCACACTCAGACTCAGTTCAAAGTTCATGCCAGAGGAACAGGAAACAACTCAAAACAAAAGGCTTCAGAGGGTATAAAAACCCCACTCCCTACATGTGTTCCCTCTCTTTTCTGCCAGAGCCATCTTCCTGTCTGGCTCTCCTCTCCAATAAACTACAACCTTCTTGCCAAAGCAGTTGTCATGTTTATTCCCAGCTTGGATGAATCAGGATGATGACTTTTCTTCCAACAAACCAAAAGTTCATATAAGGTTTCTACTCTTTCAAACTTTTATCTGTGTTTCCTGGAGGAAAGTTAAAATAATAGATGCCCTGTATGTTGTGTCTGATCAACATATAAATATTGGAAGGCTGATTATGGGGAATAGAAAAGTCCAGCCAAAAACAAAGGGAGGAGGAGGAGGAGGAGATTACAGGATGACAGACTTCTCTTTCTAAAAACATCATTCTCTCTTTAATTCTTCAGGCTGCAAGAATTGGGGCCCCTTTTAGGAAACAGCTGCGGGATGCTGATGGGGCCAGAGATTGCTTCTGAAGCCTGCTCTACTCTCTCCATGTGGGTTTGCCAGACGGAAGCTTTGGATGTAAATACTTTGGCTTGAGCTAAAATACTGCTTTGGATATGTTCTCCAAAGCTGTGTTATTGGAATAAAGAGGTCTGGGGAGGAGTGAGGTAGTAATGAAATGATTCATTAAAGCAGGGTGACATCCAGTGGTGGGATTCAAATATGTGAACAACCGGTTCTCTGTGTGGATGTCGCTTCCGGAAGTCTATTCTGGGCCTGGGCAACAAAAAATTAGCTACCAGTTCTGCCGAAGTGGTGTGAACCAGCTGAATCCCACCACTGGTTACTTCCTCATAGAATGGTTACAAACAGTTTAAATCACTTGGCAGGAAGGAAATGTCATCATCAAACTATTTATAATATATTCTTTGCTCTTTCTCTTAACAATAGTTGTAAATTATTAGGTACAAGGCTTTGCTTGTGTGTGTGCCTAAAATGTATCAGCTGAAATAAACTTTCTTAAAGTGGTTTCCAGTGAACAAGTGATGAAATTGTGTATCTAAATTGCTTTCTCACTGAGCTTCGCTGTCTCTCCCTATTATTTTTTTTTCCTCCTACAATAAGGAGACTTTGTTTATTTTGTCTTCCTGGCAGCTTCTCTTTTATAAGTTTTCAAGCATTCTTCTCTTCCTTTTGCCATACCAATAATTTGGTTAAGTCTAGTCCACTCCATGTGATCCAGTCCCCTCCTTGCTAACAAGGAGAATGAACTGAGGATGGGGAATCAAATCCTTCAGAATTTTTCTGCTATTTTTCGATTAACTCCTTTATTTGATCAACTCACTTTTCCTTGGTTGAACTGGATCTCTGATCCTTTCCTCATTCCTCCCTTTTGATCTCAGCTTCCAGCTTGAGGATGGAAAAAGTATTTTAGCAACCTGATAATTTGCCAATTATTTGTCTAATAAGTCATTCCCAGCCTATGAGAAAGAGTTCGTTTCATGATTGGGTTTTTTTGTCTTTCCACCTTATCTAACTTAACTTCTCCGCCCTGAGAAGAACATCTCTGCTTTCAGAGGATTGAGCGATAGAGCAGAAACTTTGTTTTCTCCTTTCACACATTCCAGCTGGCTCAGGGAAAGCAGCCATGGCGGCTCTCCCTGCCTTTCTGTTGGAAGAAATTCTAATGCAACGGAGATACTACGTGCTCCACCATCACGGTAAAGTAAAAACGCTGTGGTTAAGTGCTTTGATTATGTACTGTATCCTCATTATTAAGAACATAGATGTAGTGGTGTAGTGGTTAAGCCAGCAGTCCCTCTCTCATCCCTAGTGCATTGTTTTGGAGGTGGGGAGATATTTTATTTATATAACCTATTGCTTTGCTAAAGTTATATGCCAAGTGACTGGAGAGTTTAAAGTGCCATAAATAACAAAACAAAAAACAAAAATAATAAAATCACCTGTCTTATTGAGGCATTAAGTTGATAAATCAAAGAGCTAGAATGTTGACTGCAGAGCTGAATACTGTATTTGCCATCTTGATATCCCAAGAGTTGGGCTTAGAGATAATATACAATTTTATATTCAAGAGTTTGGGGGGATTTGCCTATGAATACGGATGTGAACAGCAATTTAACAATTCAGGTTATCCACAATGAAATGGGATGACTGAAAGGGCAATCCAGTCTAATAAACAAAGTCTAAATGTCTGGGATTGATCTAATACAGTGGTTCTCAACCTTTTTAATGCCGTGACCCCCAACCGGTCGTAAGTCGAGGACTACCCAACCAGTTGTAAGTCGAGGACTACCCAACTGGTCGTAAGTCGAGGACTTTCCCTGCCCGGGAGCGCCGCGCATGCGTGGTGCCGCCCCCTGCACCGGCCGAGGCGTAGCTGGCAAGCGGCAGAGATGGCACAGGCCGACCAACTGGCTGGCCACCAGCTGGCCCAGCCCAAGGGAGGTAAGGCACCCGCCAGGCCCCACGTGCGCCAGCAACCCTCCCTGCGCCCGCCGGCCTCCCTCCTCCCACCCCTGGCCCTCTTTTACTTACATTTTTAGTAGTTGCTCAGCAGGGAGGGGTGGAAACTTCCAGACAGCTCGCCTTCACTGCAGACAACTTGCAGCACCGTTTGCAGAATGGGACTTTTGGCGGGCTCAGCAGGGTAGAGACAGCCTGGACAATTCCTATTGGCTTTTGAAAGCCAATAGAATTAGATTCTATTCAAGAGAGTCTATTCTATTGGCTTTCAAAAGCCAATAGAATAAAAGGGAGTAGCACAGCCAAGGAAAAGGGGGAAAAAATGGTGGACTGCGTTGTTTGGTGACCCCCATGAAATGGTCATTCGACCCCAAATGGGGTCCCGACCCACAGGTTGAGAACCACTGATCTAATATATTTCCCTACTTGAATGTTGGAACACCCCAATAACTAGAATGCAGCAATCACCAGCTCAGATTTTGAAAGGCAGAATGGCTTTAATAGCTGCTTCCAAATAGTTTAACTAACTACCTACTAATGTTCTTCAGGAGCTTCAGTAAAACAAAATAACAGAAGTGTTTTCATTATTGCACAGTTAGATCCCTTCCACCATTGTATTTTGGAGAGAATGTGTGATATTCAATGATGAAGGGTGACAATCAGTGGTTATTATTCAAAAATATGAATAGCTGTGTTGATATTATGTAATGGAAGGATAGTACTGTATTGGTGAACTAGGTACCATACTCATAAACGTGGAATGGGTGGAAACTATCATCAAATCGTCTTTAACATTATTTTTTAATGTAGAGGAAGTCCTCAACTTATGACCACAACTGGGACCAGAATCTTGGTTATTGAGCAAAGCGGATATTAAGCAAGATGCTCAGGTGACTGCTTCATTCAACAACCACAATCCCAGCACCCCTGGTTTCAGTCATTAAGTGATTTCCTGGGTCGTTATGAAAAACGAGTGAAAGAGGGAATCTTTCTGGCAAGTAACTCTTAGTGTGGGAAATCAGCCCCTGCAGAGAAAGAAATATTCTTGGAAATATTTAAAAGGCAGAATATATCTCCCTAAAGGATTTTAAAGGCAACCCCGCCCCCCAAGTCTCTCTGTCTCAAACAGAAACCAAGTCAGACTTGTTATGTCCCGAGCCTTGCAAACGGCTCGGGCGTTTGCAGGCAGTCCCGGGCAGGTGCAAAGCTGCCCGGGACCAGACAGGCTGTCGCCAGCGCCGTGCGCATGCGCGGGTGCTGGCGCGGGAAAAGTAACACATTTACCCGGGAGTTGCCTATATAAGAGGCTGCGAGCGTTTGGGAAGCTCAGAAGCCATCTACTTGTAAGCTGAACGCAGAATAAAGAAAACTGAGAACTCCAACTGCTTCTCGTGTCTGCTTTTCGCCAAGGATTCAACACTGGCGATGAAGGTGGGATGCCTTACACCGCCTGGAAAGGAAGAAGTGTAAGCTTACCCAAGTGAGTCCTGAGAGGCGGAACGGCGTCGACTCGGCAGCTGCCCGCCAATCCAGTGCGCATTCGGGGGTAGGCTGGCTGATAGACCCGTCTCCTGAAGATGGCAAAAATTGGAAGGCTTTCGGAGTTCGACGTCTCACATCCAGAGCGGTGGGAGTCCTACGTAGCCAGGGTGGAGAACTACTTCAAGGCAAACCAAGTGAGGGAAGACAGCTTGAAGGCTGCCACCCTGCTTTGCGTTTGCGGTCAAGACGCCTTCGACATCGCAGAAAACCTTGCAGCACCTGTTCCAGTAGAGTCTGTCAGCTACGCAGATCTGAAGAAGTTACTGAAGGAGCACTTCCACCCCAAGATGTCCGTCATCGCATGGCGCCACACCTTCGAGCAGAGGGATCAACGGTCCGGCGAGTCGGCCAAAGAATACATCGCCACATTACGGAAGGCCGCCAAGCACTGCGAGTTCAAAGACCTCGAAGAACGACTGAGGGATCGATTCGTGTGCGGGTTAAGGCATGAAGATCTACAACAGAGACTTTTCGCTAAAGAAGAATTGTCCTTCCAAGATGCCTTAAGGGAAGTCACCGCAGAAGAAGCAGCAGGCGGCGCTGTCAAGAACATGCGGCCGATCAGAAACAGTCCAGAGGTTGCATCCGTGCACCAGGAAGACGTCCAAAGAAACTCCGAGGAGGATCCGGACGAGGAAGTCGACCGTCTCCACCCCACGAAGGAAGAAAATCAGAAGGGAAGCTCTTCAGCTCCGCTCAAGTGCATCGGCTGTGGAGGTCGCCACAGGAGAACCGACTGCAAGTTCCGCTCCGCTACCTGCCGAGCATGCGGCAAACAAGGACACATTGCAGCTGTGTGTCTGGGCCGACGAAAGGTACAACCTCAGGAAGAACTGCGCCTGAAAGGTACCAGATTCCCCAGCCAGAATAGGGTAGGGTTTTGCGCTTCGCGAAGAAGCATCCTTAGGACAGGCACACACAAGCCCATTAAGAAAAAGCTGTCACTCAAGGTGAAGCTACAAGGGGTTCCATTAACTATGGAACTAGACACAGGGTCTGCCCTTTCAATCATCTCCTTGCATACATTTAGGAAGATTTGTTCCGGTAGTGGAACTCAGGCCAAGTTAAGGCCGTCTGACATTGTGTTAACAGATTTTCAAAATTCAAGAGTGTGTGTTAAGGGGGAGGCCACCCTTAACGTGCAATACAAGAGTTTTGAAGGTCCACTAGACTTATTAGTAGTAGGGGGTGAACGAACGAGTCTCATAGGACTCGATTGGTTTGAGGCCCTGGGGATACACGTCACAGGACTCAACAGTTTACAAACACTCGACCTACAGGAAGTCTGCAAAGAATTTGCAGATGTTTTCAGCCCCCAGCTGGGCACATTCAAAGGACCCCCTGTGTCCTTAAAGCTAGACCCCACTGTCACTCCCATTAGAATTAAAGCAAGAAGGGTCCCTTTTGCTTTAAAGAGTAAAATTGACACTGAGTTAGACAAACTGATCCAACAGGGAATTCTAGAACCTGTTGATTCCAGTCCTTGGGAGACCCCCATTGTCACGCCTCTAAAGGCAAATGGGGACATTCGCATTTGTGCTGATTACAAATGCACTCTTAATAAGGCATTGCAGCAACATGCCTATCCTGTTCCTGTGGTCAGTCATATCCTGGCCTCCCTCAAGGGGGGGCGTGTTTTTGCAAAGCTTGACCTAGCTCAAGCATATCAACAGCTGCCTGTTGATGATGATGCTGCTATAGCTCAGACTATTGTGACCCACAGAGGGGCCTTCAAGGTAAAAAGGCTACAGTTTGGAGTGAATGTCGCTCCTGGGATTTTCCAAAGCGTAATGGAAAACACACTACGGGGCATACCAGGGGTTTTTGCCCCTACTTTGATGATGTCTTGATTGCAGGAGACTCCACACACATTCTAGCTGAAAGGCTAAGGGCTGTTCTGTTAAGATTCAGGAAAACAGGCCTCAAGCTCAAAAAAGACAAATGCAAGATTGGGGTGCCTTCTACTGAATTTCTGGGGTTCAAAATTGATGCTGCTGGGATTCA